CTGGGAGGTTGTCGAGTCAACCTAGTTAGCTGTGACTTAAAGTGCTAGTCCAGCACTACACTTTTTTAGACTTGGATTTATTGTATTACAAATTCTTAGTTTCCATCGCAAGTTGTCGGTGTTCTTGTAAAACATGAAGTATGTACCTTTTTGGTCATAGTTGAAAATAATAAAGAGCTATTTTCACTCTTCTTCTGTGCAGGTATTATTTCACCCTTCTTCTGTGCTGGTATTATTTCACCCTTCTTCTGTGCTGGTATTATTTCATCCTTCTTCTGTGCTGGTATTAGGTATTTCTGTGCGAGAACTCTCCAGGTTCATTAGTAGGATCTAGATTAGTTTATGTGGCCAAAGAGAGTTAGATCCTATTCTACTAGCTAATATTTACTACTAATTAGTAAACATAGTTATATAATATACATATAGTTTTCCCTGCAATTTTCACCGGGTCAGAGCTAAATTTATCTCCTGCCCGACGTTAAATTTATCAGCTAAGATTCATTCTCTTCAGCCCATTAGCTTACGCCCTTTTCTTAAGAAATTATTTCACATCGCATCTTGAAAAATTCTATAAAATCTATTGCTGAATGCAACATTTAAATTTAAGCAAAAAAAGAGCCCTCAGTTTCACGCAGGTTTTGAATAAAACTTTATCAATTTTGAAGGCTACGAAAGCTATCAAAGATGTCCTTGTTCTTCAGAAGCAAAACTGTTGTCTTTTTGCCTAATTTTGAATTAAGGCTGTTGTTACCAGTCACATTTCTTTACTTAACAGTGCGATTTGAACTATGTTCTTATTAAACTTATAATACTTAATGTTCATATTTAAATACTTTATAACTAGCAATGCATCATAAGGTTAAATTTCCTTTAATGATTTAATGCAATATCAGATCAATGCGAAAAAAGTACGAGTTAAGCAAAAGGAGGTGTTGATAAAACTATTGATGAGTCCTTGAAATGGTTGATAGTCAAACATGTTTTGTGATCTCTGTTTTATTAAAATCGAGACAACCTAAATTTTTGAAATGATTATCTTCAATGAAGCAAGAGTAAATTGCATAAAAACTTTTAAATAACAACGGAATTTTTCCTGAAAGTATCATTCTGGAGTATTTTCAATCAAATATTAGTTCCAGCTATGAGGATAAAATGGGTGTTCCGGATTTCGCGCATTTTCTATATTTGTATATTTTTAACATGTGATGCAAAATCTGCTCTATCACGAAACATGAGAATGAGATTCTTTGTTAATTTAAATCGATTACAGTTTGAGAATAATTACGTTCTAGCTCGAAGTTTGATCGAAAATAACTGCCATCATATAATACATATTGTACAATAACAACATATACACATACATGTTGTAATCAGCTGTAGGCTGCGCAATTCCAATTGTGCATCAGCCATCTGCTAGCTGGACGTGCTCAAAACTTTTGCTTCCGAAAGCACGCACGGAATGCAGTAAGTCTTTACATTCCTCAAAAGTGACTAGAGAGAAGCATGAGACCTAATTGACCAAATACATGTGGTGAGTAATTATCATCCCCAGATCGTGGATAATTTGAGCGCCACGGCTATTGCTTTTTGGAGCGGATAACGCAAAAATTCAGCTGTATCCTTGGCGGGATTCAAATTATGGATCTACCACTTGTTGTGCGAAAATCATCTTTTCCTACGCTGACATTCTAACCTTCCAACTACTCGCTGCACATGCTAACCACTTGCACCACTAGAGCACGCACAGGAAAATGCGAAAATGCCTTTCAGTAGGAGGTATAAGTAATTAGAATTATTAAACTAGCATGTGCAAGATTTAAAATGACTTTCCGTTACTTGTCTTCTAGTTATTTATTCCGTATATTGCCTAAAGGAAAAGGTCACAGATGGCGTACGTATCCCAAATGAAAAGAGAATCAGCAAAAATATTCTAATTCCTTCTCAAAAAAAGCGTAAGTGTGCTGTAAAATAAAGAGTCACTTTTATATCCCAGAATTTTTTATTAGCGTAAGTTATTTTTAGATAAAAATATCTTTTGTGGAACGTTAAGACAAGATACGCGTAATAACTTCAGCTAAATTCTTGAGTGTTCTTTTGTAGTACTTAACGGATATTTTTAAATAATATTATCGTGAATCATTATCTTCGTTATTTTGGGAGAAAATTCTTGGAGAAGATTTAGTATTTCCTAGACATTTTCAGCGTAATTTTTTTACTGACGCGTAGTCTCATAATTTATAACCGACAGAGATAATTAAAATGTATTCAAATTCACATTCGAATTCGGATTCAGTTTTAAATTTATAAGAATATTACAGTGCAGCTTATCTCAATTGTAATTTCTGAGAGCTTTGTGATAAATCGCTAAAAATTCCATAAAAGTTCACGACGAATTTGACCTCGATACATAGATATGCGGATAATCAAGCGCAATGTCTGTATAGGGTTTCGTTATAATATGACTATTACTTCTATTGCTCACCAAGGTAGGTATATGAGAAAAGCTGTTCTAGAGTAACAAACCTGTATTTCATTTCATTATCAGACTCTTTACATCCGCTAGTGGACAAAAAACGTTATGGTTGAATTACTGCTCCGAATTCAAAAATAGTATCGACATTTAGTATCACTTTCAATTTTCCCAAATATCATATTTAATCAAAATTACTTATTTTGATTCATTGTATTAGCTGCTAAAATGAACATTCTAAGTTAATTATATAGATTTGATGAATCGAATAGAATACGTAACTAATGCATGAAGAATTTATTATTGAATTTAGTATAAATTATGAAGTTATGATGCTTTCTGATATTTTAGTGACTCCACTGGAAGAATCCTTAAGGCAGTTCTTTTGCAAAATAAGAGTAAATATGCCCTTGCACTTGTTGGCTCTTCTTAACATCTCCATGAAAACTGTGAAAGTATGAAATCAGACCCCGCACATATAAAATAAAATCATAGCAGATATTTAAATCTTATTATATATATATATATATTGGTTAACAGGAAGGTAAGAGATGCTGTACATAGTTCTTGGGCTTCACATATGAATGTTTAATAGAGAAAAGTCAACATTTTTAGCAAAATCACTGACCATTAAGAAAATCTCTAATTTCGCAGAAGAAACCTAATAAAACAGAAACATTTTTTTTTACCACTACTTTATATAAAACGAGATGTTGTGAAATAATTTTGAAAAGTATTAACAAATAGTGGTAATTTCTTTGATTACCTTTATGACATCAGAAGCCAAACTAAAGGAAAATGTCGCTGTCAGAACAGACTTTCAGAAAATGTTACATGGAAACTTTGAATTTGTCGTGATGTAAATTGAACAGGAAACTCAGGTTTCTCTGAAGGACAGCATGATTAAAATTTTTGATACCACTGAGATTAGCTATATGTCATAGCAAGAGATATCCTACAAAATTTCAAACAGTGATTATAAAATTTCATTTTTTTTAAATACGCACCTTTTCCAGAACATTTTAATGCACTAACGATAAAGTGAGGACTGTACTTACAAAAAGGCATTACAGAACTAAAAATAAATAAGGAAACATTAGAATTGTCTATGTGATTGCAGATTACTACTAAATGTTAGAATCCAAAATCACTGCTAAAAGTCACATTTCATTATGATTGCAGATTACTGCTGAATGTTACATTACAAAAATTAGAAAATGAATGTCGCATTACAAAATCCAAATGTTACATTACATAACGTTATGGCTTTCATTACAAAAATGTTGCATTACAAAATTTGAAATGCTAAATGTTATATTGCAAAGTACTGCTGCATGTTACACGGGCACAACGATTTTACTACCAGAAAAGCTATTGATCAGGACGGCTATACGCGTTTTATAGTATTTTTATTGCTTGAAATAATCGCATATTGGTGATCCTAATTCCCTTAAAGTGTTTTTTCACAAATAAGTCTCCTTCAGCGTTAAATAATACGTTATTAGCAGTTGGATTGAAATTGACGAGTTTTAGTTTGGAATGTCACAAATTACCAATCACGCTATTAATTATTAGTTTGGGTTTCCTTATTTCTAAGAAACGCGCGCTGCGCGTTTTGCAAATATATTCAATTAAGGGTCTTCTGTAACTATGCAGAGCTTGTTTGAAATCAGTAAACGCAAAGTTGATGAATGAATAAGTTCTCTTAAAAGTTCTGCTCATCGTTACAATTATTTTTATTCGTTTCGTATATCATTCTCTTCCATTTTGCTTTCTTTCTATCAATTTAAAAACCTTTCTAGCCTTCTTGTTCTATACTAATTTTATAATATAATTAACCATTAATTTAATAGTGTCAAAATTACTAGTACTTATAAAACAGTTTACTTTCGCTTAGAGATATTTAGAAAAATGTTGATATAAATTACAAAAAACTTAATTTGAAAAATAAAGTTTATATCACATAAGAAAAAAACATATTTAAGTTTAAAAACTCTTAATTGTAGTTCATTGGTCATAATTTTGAAAAGTCAAATTTTATTCGGTATCACTGATTTTTCATGAAAAATTTCTCTACATTTCGAAACACAAATTTAGAACTCTGCGTCTTCAGGAAAAAAATTACTCCTGAAGAAGACATTGGTGCAAGTTAGAACGGCAGAAAATTGCACTTTAGAATGTTATCCAAGTCTATGAAATGTAAATATGTCTGTGCTGATCGATCGAAATTATAAACTAAGTTTACGGATTATTAAAATCCCTTAACAAAGAATTTAATTTAGATGCCTATTAAAAAACAGACCGCTTTTTATCAGATTGGTATTTGTTACTATTTACAGTTCTTTTCTCATTTTCATGACGATATTGTTTGAAATTACTAACTTTTGTTCATTCTTTTCGAGAAATATGAAAATCCGTGGTCTTGTAACAAAAATATCTTTGGCGACTTTCAAAATTTTGGCGCGCTCACCTGGCGGCTGGCGATTACTCCCCAAAATATTTCTTCGTTCCGTTATTCCCCACTCAAACTCCTACCTCTTCGGAAGCAGCGGAGAACTTTGTTAAGTTTTCTCTTCCATTAACAGCTATGTACAAAATTGATACCATTTATGGCAAACTTACAGCTTCAGAAGTTTAGATTTGTTCTCTTAATTATTGTACTCTGCTAAACTTTAATATTCTCGGTAAGTATTGATTTTTTCATACTTTAATTAAGTGCATGTTGAAATAAGTCACGCAATGCACAAGTTAGCTCAGTTTTCAGATGGAGGTTAAATAAACTTTTCTCAATATGTTTTAATGTGATTCATTTGCGTATTCCCGTCTGAAGACTTGAAAATGGTTTCAAACTTATTTCAGTTTGCGTATTTTTTATTCGCTTAGAAAATCTGCTGCTTTGTCTGCTTAGCAGTAAAAAAGCAGAAGAAGCGTTTACTTTGTAAAAGGGCTTAGTTACTTTGAAAAGTGTTTTAGGGTTTTTTATGAGAGTAGAAAAATTCTAATAAGTTTTTAAATATACGTTAACGTGTTCATCCTCATCAATCCACGTATAAATAGAAATTTCTATATCATTTCTTCTAATATATCTCTTAATTGTATATTTGTTGAATCAACTATGTGAAATTTTATATTCAACAATGAATACCATTCAATCTTAAAGCATTTTCTTAACTATTGGGCATTGTATTATATCCAGGGCAGAAAATATTCCTCCCTTCAAGAAAGAGTAGATGAATAACTTACTTCCTAGTATCTTTAAATTAAAAATTAATGTCTTATATTTCGTAATTTTTTCCTTAATTTGCTCAGTGGCAAAATTCCTTAACAGCAGTCTTGCTGACGAGGTTTTCTTTTCGGGGGGGGCTTGGTGGTGGAAGGGTTTGTAAGATGTTTATTATTGTTTATGATGTTCGATGCTGCAAGCACAGGACAATTTTGCTTAGAAACTCCTCCACAAAAGATCGCTAAGAATGCTTCCCCATGATATATTATCTCTTTGCACTTGACTACATATTCAGCTTTCATACGGTAGAAAAAAAGACGCATCATGTAAATCAGAAAAAAACTATTTTATTTTAGTATTACAAAATTATTTCATGATGTACTAAGAACAAGGTGTAAAACTAATTATACTAAGAACACAGTGAACTACAACCGTAAAGCATTTTCTAATTCAGTAGTGTATTCTACTGAATTAGAAAATGCTTTACGGTTGTAGGTTAGAAAAATGAGTAAGATAACCAAAACATGTGGCCAAGTAATGCTCTTAAATTAATTTGATTTAAGAGTATATCCCTTTGTAACTTTTTTTTAACTTTTACATACTCTACATAAGAAATTTCATAATATGTTCGACTATAATACCTGCTCTTGATTTTAAAAGTAAAAATATTATCGGAAATTTTGATTTTTCTTTCTGCCTAATACTGAGACAATTCGTTATTAAAGATAATATCAGGCTGTATTAAAGTCTGTTCAGTTAAAATTATATATAAAAAACATAAACTTTTTATATTTATATACTATTTTTTATATTTCTATTGTAATTTTTATATTATTTTCTGTTATAAAAGTTTAATAAGGAATAAAATGTAGTATAAAGGAATCATAATATCAGTCTAATAAAGGAATAACCGCCTTTTTAATGTGTATTGCATATTTTTTTGTAAATTCTAATATTTTAGATTTAATTTTGTCTGCGTAAAAGAATGCTGTAATAGTTTCATTAAAAAAAATTGTTCAACGAGCAGTTTAAAGTATTGGGGTAAATCGATAATGCAATCAGATCCTTGGTTTTTGCTTGAATAATTTATCTAAATAAATCCTCTTAATGTAAGTTCACGCAGTAAGTTCAGTAAATCAAGCTATCTGTAACATGATTACGAGCCAGTTTCGTCTGAAATGCCCTCCATGAGGGCATTCCCCCTCCTTAGGCAGATGACCCTTGCATCCCGTGTTGTTATCCAAATTCAAAAATCATTCTGTTATGTAGGTTTCCATTCACTTATTATCTAGGCTTCTATTGAGACTTCAAGGCAACTTATCGCCTCATCTATCAAAGTATTACAACTCAGAAAAAGGTTTAACAATCCTTTATTAAGAGCTTAAAAAATATACGGCCTATACTTACATTATAAACTCTGCAGCTTGCGAAAGTTCAGTTAACATAAAATATAAATTTAAAAGAAAAAAAAATCTGAAAGGTTTCAGATTTTAAATTACGTCTACAGGGGCGTTTCTTTAACGTTTTGTGTGTTACCTTTATTTATTAAATATCATGTTCTTTGCACTTAAACCATACAATTCAATTCAACAGCTATGTCGCAAAAATAAATTTAAAATGAGCATATAGAATTTCCGATACACAGTTCCGCCAGTTTGGAGATAACAGTTTTTTTCCCTACTTGTAGAATGTTGCCATTGCTCGCTTTTAAATCGGTGAGTTTGTTAATCAAAAATTCGTTAAAGTTTTACAAAATATAAAATCTATAATGAAACAAATTCCAAATTTCGAATTTTGGCTTTCAGATGCCCATATTCGCAGTAGGATTACGTCATTCAAATTTGGATGGCTCTAGGTACCGTTGTTTTATCACAATGCGAAAAACATACATACCATTTATGCAGATTCTTCATTATTTAATTTCTTCAAATATAATACAGGGCGATAGTATTTGGTGGCAACGATTGGAAAAGTGATACAGCCTTTTAAAATTTTCAACACAAAACGAAAACAATAGTCCTTCAAGGACAAAGCCCCTTTAGACTAATAATTTAACGCCGAAAGCCCATATTGCATTTACATTAGTTTGAGCCAATTTTTGATAGCAAAAGTCTATCAAACGTGGCTAAAATTAATCTAAATGCGCGAACAACCTCGGCTAGCAAAAGGTTAATGCTAATGTTAAGTAATTCTCTGAGATGGGAGACAAAATAGACCAAAAAGAAGCTTATCTGCTAAACTCTCTCTAACTTTCAAGAACTTTGTTTACATATAAACGTACCTAATTTGCATTCTAGTTAGAGCTTACGAAACGCAGAAGTTATAGTACATCTAAAATAATAAATAAAATAAGATAAAGGGTTAATTAACATAGAGCTTAAAGTTATCATATAAAATTATGTGAAAGTGAAGTTGTCTGAATTATGTAGAAGAAATGAATTTATACTGATAAGATTTTTATAAATGTTTCGATAAACTTTCTTACAAATCAAATACATTTCTTTTATTAGTGAATAGTAAAATGCGTTTATAGAGAATGATGTTGTTAAAAATAGAGCAACGAGACAATGCATTTTTTCCAAGTTTGGGTATGCAGATATAAAAATATATTTGTAGAATTTCACAGTTAATGCTTATTATGGAATAAAATTGTTAAAGCTCTTTAATATAAAATTATGTGTAAGTGAAATGGTCTGAATTATGTATTAATAATGAATTTGTAAAGATAAAGCTTATTCATAATAATATCTTTAATACTATTTCGATATACTTTCTTACAATCCAAATACCATTCTTTTATTTTTAAGTAATAAAACACATTTATGAAGAGCGGTGTTCTAACTTAATATTTCTAAAGGAAAAAAAAATAACTCAGATGTTCATATGTTTCAAATGTTAAATAGTTTTATTAGTTCAAATTTTTGGATTTCGTATGTACTGTATTACGCAAGAAAAAATGTTTTGGTAAAAATTTAGGAATGGTTGCGGATTATCATGATGATGAAGTTTGTGCATAAAGATGGAAATTTGTCAATGAAGATGCACTCTTAGCGCATTTAGTAGAATATCTTTATTTCATCATAATTTCTAAAAAAAAAGCAAGGTAAAAGATGAATACACCCGCTGTAAAATAATTTTAAAAACGTATTTCAATTATTGCAGCATTAAAACTGGCGATAAAAGAAAGACTATAGACGAAATATTCTCTACGTGAATACAAGCGTGAGAAGAGAAATATTACTTGATTATTGTTAGATTAGGAACAGTGAAGCTACTATTATTTCTCTGTAGTTAGGCAGAGTTTCGTTTAATTATTATTTGTTTATATGGTATTTCTGCCGCCTTCCTAGCATGCCTTCGTAGAGTAGTGGTCAGCACGCTCGGCGCGTATTTGAGCGGTTCGTGTTTCGAGTTCCGCCCGAGGGCATTGCTAATTTTTCCTCTCTCTTGCTTTCAAAATTACCTAATGACTCTACAGTGGCGCCCGAACTAAAAAAGGTGATGGATGAGGATTTCTCCCCCATCAGGATTTGGGCGATTAGGTCCCCTAATCCCCAATTGCTCTTTAAAATGGGGAGTATATAAGGTATATTTCTACCGCCTTCTTAGGATGCTTTCGTGGTGTAATGGCCAGTACAATCGGCGCGTATTCGATTGGTCCGTGATTCGAGTCCCGGCGAGGGCATTGCTCATTTCTTCAACTTCATTCTTCAAAAAAAAAAAACATCCTTCCTGACTCTACAGGTTGATAAAAGTTTCCTTTTGAATATTATTAGACAAGCATTTTCATTTTAACTTTCTCCGTAATGGAAGTACATGTGTCATTCACGTTGTGCAAGAATCACATGATATGGATTAATTTTGGAATAACACATTTCAGAAAGTTTTATCATAATCATTTTGCTGTTTTTATACTAGAAAAAGAAAGTTTTAAATAGGAGACTAGGGGCTCAACAAGTTAAAATTAAAATTTTATTTTACATACGCGTACATATGTAATATTTTATTATCAGGATCATATCTGAAAAGGTACCTCGTTTCGCTCTTCCAGTTAGGTAGACTCGTTAAAGTTAAAAATCAAAGTATGTTTGATGGTATCTAACGTTAACAAAAGTCCGTGCGTATGAAAACTCTTTTCATATAAAATAACGATGATTGACTTTTTGAAAGATTTAAAACTTTTCTTAATACTTTTTTTTTCTTCTGAACCAATTCATAATGTGTTTTCTAGAGATATTTTTCCAGTCGTGCATTTCTTAAATTTAAATATAAAACTTTAGCATTCACTGACTGAATGCTGGATTCTCAGCACCTTTCTCGAATTGGAAGCGTGGTATTGCATTCTTGACATTCGCAAAGCTCTCATGTCATCTGAATATTTTACGTCTGAAAACATGTTTCCATCGAGTAACTGATTAATCATTCAAGTCTGTGTGAATTCACAGGTATTGCCTTCACATT